CAGTACATAAATANGGGAGCAAAAACTTACTGATAGTCAGTAACAATTTCGTGGTACGGTCATCATGATACCGTTTTACTGTCGTGTATTTACCTTATCTTGATCTCTACAGTATGTACAGTACGGTAACTACAGTACGTACGGTACAGTGTACAGTACTGTACTGTACTGTACTGTACTGTACATCGAAATGTTTGAAACGCTAATACTGTAAATACTGTACTGTACAGTACTTTTAACAGTGCCGTACAGTGCACTGTACTGTACGCCATTAGGCTCCGCCCAACATCAACGTTAATAGAAACTTGGCAGAAAGTATACCATAGTTCTGGCTGGTTCTGCCATCAGCTTTTATTAAGTGAGTCAGATCAAATAAAGCTCTATTATTATGATAATTTGATGTTTGTTAAACGGGCAGTGCTAATTAATTTTTTTATTATTAATCGTTTAATCAAAGGACGGCGACCAATTATACTGTACTGTGTGACTATACCATAGTAGCCAACCGCGCACAGCAGTGTACACTAGACAGTGTGCTATGTCACATGTCAGTAACCACTGGCTAGTATCAGATGGACCAATACTGCACGGTACTGTATCGTGCTGGGTAACACGATAGTTGGCTGGTCATGCTATTTTATTGGCTACTCCTGTCCCTTAATCATCATTGGCAGGAGAGCGTTTTTCTGATCAGTTAACGGAACTGGGTTAGCCTGTCTTGATTGTTTTTTTTTTCTTTTTTCTTTTTTCTCCTGCCAACTCACAGTTCGTACTCCTCGCAGTTATTTCTGCTTCTGTGTTTCGACAGTTTGCGACGATTGCAGGTGTAGAAAGTTCTATTTACTATAACACATTAAATAAACAAGATGGAAAAAGGAACGGATTTTGAAGTGCGAGAAAAGAAACCAAATGGTTACTACTGTAGCAAGTGTCATCTAATCATTGCAGTTGCTGTTGCTATCAGTTTGATCGTATTGGTTGGCATTATGGCTGGTGTTGTTCCTAGAGGAAGTGCACAAGGATCTGGCGGTACCCAGGCAACTATGGCTACAACGCGGCCATCGATGACCACAAGACCTGGCATGACTCAAAGTTCAGGTTCTACCACAACTCGAACTGTTGCTACAGTCAAACCTACCGCACCTAAACCGACATCGAGATATCCGGCGGTCAATAACATTCGGCTTCCCAAAAATATTGTTCCAATTCAGTACTGGTTTTCTTTGGATGTAGATATGATTGGCTTGCAGTTTACTGGCCAAAATGATATCGAAATCTCCGTTACTTCACAAACGAATATCATTATTGTTCATATGAAGCAAATGACATTAGTAGGTTCCCCAGTGGTTTCGTCTACACGTAATTTTGGCAACCCGTTAACGATATCCGAACATAATGCTTTTGCGCTAAATGATTATTACTACATTGTGCTGGCTAGCCCGCTTAATCCTGGAATCTATTACGTCCGATTTAATTTTAGGGCAGCATTATCTACTGCGTTGAACGGCTTGTATAAAAGTACTTACACAAAATTGGATGGCCGTGTAATGTAAGTAAAAGTAAATTGCACATCGTAAGCATTGTACAGAAACTGTTCACCTAATTACAACAACGTTGTGTGCTTATGCGACAAGGTAATTATTTACTTACGCATATTCGCTTTCGACAATGACGTTCAACATGCTGTGCTGTAAGTGTCCAACTAAATCAGTCACAGACTGGACACAGACGTATCATGTCTCAG